CAGATAGGGACTCCAGTGGAGAGCGGAACTATGGGCTGAGCCCAACAGAGTCAAGCAGACAAGACTGCCTGATGTTTTGGGAGCCCAACCTCCGTAGTGTCCAGGAATGGCACATGGAGTCACAGGAAGAGTTGCCTGTCCACTGGGGCTTTGGACTTGCTGGGGCCGTTTTTCCTTTCTTTGGGTCAGATGGAAATTTCTGTACTGTGCCTGCTCCACAATTACATTTTGAGAGCATGTAATTTGTTTTGATTTCACAGGCTTGTGATTAAAAGTTTCTCTTGATGGGACCAGCAGTTGGCGTAATGGCTATGTCACTGGACTGCCATGTAGCCGACCGCAGTTCGAGTCCCGGACCCGGTGGCTTGAACTCACGCTGGGCATGTGTGTGTGCGTGCCCAAGATCCCGAGAGGAGACTGGAGAAGGGATTGTGGTGTGGCCATCCCCCTGGGGAATGATTTCTTACTGTCTATCTGTCTGGTGAGCACACGTGCCCTATAGCAAAAATAAATAAATAAAAATAAATAAAAAAACTTCCCTTGAGTCCCAATGAAACTTTGGCCTTTTCATTTTTTTTTTGTTTTAATTTTACAGAGGGTGTACACACTCACCGGAGAGGGAATGGGAGAAAGCACCTCCCAATGGTGCATGGTCATGCCACAATCCTTTCATTTGTCCCATCAGGATTTTGGGCACATACATGCATGTGCCCAGTTCCAGTTGCCTGGATTCGAACTACATGGTCAGTCATGTGGTATATGGCCTCCTTAACCACGGACCCTATACCTTGGACTTTCAAGTTGGTCCTGGGACAAATTAAGAGTTTTGAGACTACTGGAATGGAATCATTATATTTCATATGTGAGAAAAACACGAACCTTGAGGGCCAGGGTGGAATATTGTGGTTTAGATCATGGTTGTCCCTAGTTTTGTAGCCAGGCTACAGTAGGAACTGCAGAACTCCACATCAAATCTGATAGGTTACAATACTGTAAGCTGGCCTTTAGTTTTTCTTTGGCATATTTATTTAGTTTGCAGGAACTATTCTTAGTTTTGCTGAGATTTTACAGACCAGACACCAGGCCTTAGACTGCAACCCAAGAAAATATGCTCAAGAAAGAGAAAAAACTTCTGTCCTGATGACCATATCCAGCCTACCCAGCCACAGCTGAAAAAGACCTTTGAAAGACCTTGGCAAGGGCCAGCAGGTGGTGTGGTAGTGGTGAAGGCAGCTGGACTCTCACACAGCTGAATGCGGTGGCCTGGAAGATCACACTGGGGGTGTGTGTGCATGCCCAATATCTCAGGAAGAGAATGGAGAAGGGATAGTGGTATGGCCATCTCCCCGGGGGTGTGTGTGTGTTTCTCTCTTTCTCATTGACTCTCTCTGGTGCAGCTGGACTCTCACATAGCTGAATGCGGTGGCCTGGAAGATCACACTGGGGGTGTGTGTGCATGCCCAATATCTCAGGAAGAGAATGGAGAAGGGATAGTGGTATGGCCATCTCCCCGGGGGTGTGTGTGTGTTTCTCTCTTTCTCATTGACTCTCTCTGGTGAGCACATGCAACCTATAACAAAAACGTTAAAGAAAAAAAAAAAAAAAAAAAAAAAAACTTTTAAAACAGGGGACGGGG